GCAGCCAAAAGACAGCAACCAAAACCCGCGCACGAAAGTGCATGGTTAATGGTTGTAAAAAATTGAAACTGAAACAATACGGAAACAAACTTGTCGGGCAGATATTTCAGGAAGAGGTAACACCAGAGTACAGTGCAGTCGAATGAGTCGAAAGCCACTTTTAGACCAAGGAAGATAGAAATGGTGGGTCTACGAAAAGAGTTAGTGTTCTATAATTTGGCAGAGGGAAAAAGAGTTCGACACAAAACCTACTAGATATAAAACCATCCTGATCATCGAGTGTGCACCAATGATAAACAACAAACAATCAGCGGAATATTATAAAAGTGAAAGTTTCAAACAGGACGCTAATTAAATTAATTCCTCTGGGGGGTTCATGAGAGGATTTTTCACCTTGGTTGGAAATTGGTAAGATGACCGATTAAACCTATTCAGTGGAAACTTAATTCCTCTGAAATACTGAACTGTTGAGCTCCATCAACTGCAGGACCCAACACGATGAGATTGCGCCTTGGCGTGGTGTGATAGCTTGCGCACATCTATGATCCAACGAGCTACATCGCATGACTTTTATTAGGCCAGATCTTATCATGCTTGGAAGGTCGAAGGGTAGAGGTCAGATAAAGTTCAGTCTCCTGGTCCTTCAGGTTGAGGGTTCGACTGGAATTTGCGTTTCCGTCGGTTAAACCGTAGAGGGGTAATCGATCCAAGTAAATGGGCCTCCACTTCGCTTCACCCGCTGCCTTGCGGTTAGGTTCTTGTCAGAACTAAAGGCTTTGATTTAGAACCTTAATCGTTCTCTTGATTAATGGCTGGACTCCCCAGCAGTACCCATTTATCCAACTTCAATGTATACACAAAGTAAAATGAATTTATTGCTGCATCGATCGTCGAGCATGATAAGCAGGACCGCGCCGCCTGTTGCATCGAGCTAGTTGGGTAGTAATAGATGGGCTATTGCTCAGATATTTGTCTATTTTTTTATCTTTTGTACCCAACTCCAAGACCAACGCTGAACCTCCATCTATAAAAGCTGTGGGAACGGCCCATTCGGTCCGGAGGCCTTATACCTTCCCATGTAACTTACTTCTCGGTTAAATTGCATTTCAGATGGACTGATATCAACTGATAGTATTAGACCGAATTAAGCAGAAAATGGAAGGTCTAAAGTCGATAGCGGCAGGTACGACTGTGCCTTAAAATGTTCTCCTCATCTTTCTTTCTAGATGATGATGCTCAACGTGAATAGATGTGCCGTCGGATTCCTTAATTGCTTTACTTAGGCCAACTTACTTTGGGCCCGTACACTTATTCAGACGGAAGAGATTGCGGCTATTACCAACAGTCACAGCCTTCTCCATCTGTCTAAGTTTTCTCTACCCGACAATTATCGCGGTCATTATTCAAGCTCTTGATGACCTGGTGTTGAAGGGAGTTGTGCGCCGTGTCAAATTTGGTATCCGGAAGAATGATTCTGCGAGAGTCCAGCAAGGCGGTTGGAGTCAAGGAGATTGATCGTTCATTTTTCGATAAAATGTCGGAATCCACCGTTGTTTTGATCAACATTTGGATGGCTTCTTTGAGTACCGTTCAGTGTTCATTAAATCCTTCCACGAATGGTTGAACTGAGGGGCGATGAGAGAGCTCCGCTTCGAAGATCGATTTGCAACTGTAGCTAACATCGTATTTATGGGCATTCATGTGCGGTGGCTTTGTTGAGGTTAGTTACCAGAAGAAGGCAGCATGTTGCTCGAAATAGAGCATGGTTTGTGTCCACGGGTGGTGACCAGTGAGAGCGGCAGTCTTAAATGGATCCCCGCCAGCCGTGACTGACGGTGATGGGGTCCATTTGAATTCATCACTGTTACAAGGTAGGGAGGGGGTCCGCACATGAGGCGATATCGTGTCTTGTATAAGTTGGTGCTTGATAGGAACAATCCGTGGGCGGCGAAAAGTTGAATTGGGCCATTTCCGTTATCCGCCCGGTGGGTTTCGATTGCATGTTAGACCACTACTGCTGCTACTGACCACGGTTGGTTATTGCAGAATGATAAAGCCATTCATCACTTGATACCGAGTAGTTCAATGAATCCCACGGAGTTGTATCGTTACCGCGACCTACCGGAACCCTAACTGATGTTTTTTCCATTGAATGGGGAGATAGGGATGAAGTGGAATCTATTTGCTTAGTGCTGGAACTGATTAAAGGTCTCACAGTGGAGGCGGGTAAATATTCTCGAACTGTTTACCATCAAGAGTAGATATAAGGTCACTTGCAACAGTGAGTCTATTCGATAACAGAAGAGTGGTGTTGAATGGAAATATTATTTTATGGACTACGAATAATCATATCTAACTCATTTCGAATTCTTGAATAAATCAGTGGAGACGACAAAACCGCTTATGGCATCGACAGGGAGAGGCCGAACAGCGACTTACCTCCGGAGTGATTGTGCCCAATTTGACCGCCAGAGGATAACCAGTCCGTTCATAGTGCTCTAATGCGTGGTTATTCCCTCCGGAACCATCCCAAAAACGGCGACCACAATTGATTGCTCCGTCGGTTAGATTGAGCCAGAGATTTTCTTTCAAGTCACACTGAGAACACTTCCAACCGCTGAAAATACACGGACAGTGAAAAGAAAGGCTTTCGTGAAGCGGCACATCCACACCAACGAATAGCGATGCAATGTGATGTGATGTGAATTCAGCGCTTGTACTAACTAGATAACTCTAGTCGTAGGCAGGCCCTTTTACGTCAGGTTACAGACAAAATCAAGTCACAATTGAGACTGGCCGTTCTACTATCTCCCAACTGCTCAAGATTAAGGAGGGGGGAAGGGTTCCGGTAATGATAGCACATCTGATTCAAGAACTGGCCCCGATCATTCCCATTTGGTCCACAAAAGTCACCCTAATCTTCCAAGAGACTTCCAAAAGTTGCTTGTATTCTATTGTATTGCATTACAGAGCACTTGATTATACTGTATTCGACATCAACTCTGTTGGTGAACATTTCTACATTGCAGTCAAATGTGTGACGATAGCCACGTCCCGGTAACCTCTTGCCAATCAAAACCCGGGGATCACGGTGAGTTGGTTGTGTAAAGGTTAGAGGTGCACTCTAAAATAAAAGACCGAGCGATGTTTGGGGTGTCCGTCGTACCGAATTCCCGTGAACTTTAGGATTTCTTATGTTGATGAAGCCGACAAATTCCTTTGCAGATAACTAAAACAAGGTCAATTGAGTAAGCTTGATATGAATTCAGAAGTTTTCGATTAGCTGGCGATTAGGGGAGCTACGCATGACGTCCGAAGAAATTGTAAACGTTCCGTAACGCATTGAACGCAAATATTCTAATAGCATTCCCAAGTTGAACTCCACGTTTGATTCAACATTGCGAAGTATTTGACTGATTTTATTACCCTACAGCCAACAGTTATGCAACCCTCCAGAAGGTAGCTGCATTAACAGACCCCGAGATAGTTCGGACTAAGAAGCAGATCTGAGACAGTTGCTTATGATAGACTGTGTAGAGGTTCGATGTGATATCGGTGGTCACGTATTACACTCGTGTTGCACCATGACGTTTTAACTAGGGGAAACCAGCAGTTTGGTTCTCTTGGAAAGACTCGG